AATCATCGTGTTGCATTGCATTATGCGTTTCCCCCCAAAATGAAAACTACAGAGCACCGATCATAAAACTCATTTAAATATCATCTTACGAAGCCATATCATTGGGACATATAGCTAATGTGACAGCTGACACTTCTGTGAAAGTTCTCCAAGTAGTCCGTTACACGGATACATTTTTTTTTAACTGCTTTATATTTAAGGTATCAGAATTTAATCTTACTTTTTGGTCATTTAAATAAAAACAACTGCACATTTTTGCTCAGTGTGGGCCTCTACATAAAATTTTGATGTTTTTTTTCTCCTTGTGTACAAGCTCCATCTTCTATATCAGACTAAATGGGTCATAAAATCCTGTATATCAGATATAAAATATAAAACATATATATTATTTAACACACTATTATTTAATAAGTTAGGGCTCAGGCTTTAGAATTAAATATATGGTGCATTTTTATCACTTTTGGTAACGTTACCCCCGATAATCAGTATATCTGAAGTAAATTCATAAGCTTATATATGTAGCTTGTACATTTATCAAGATATCTTGGCCTACTGGTAATTTAAGGCAGTCTACCTGAACCCTACCTGTGGTCAGCACTGACTGGCCTAATTAATTCTGTGGCCTACCTTTATGACTCAGCTGAGGGAAATGGCAGACACTTCACTGGATTACAAAGGTTTATATAATAACTCAATATGGTAATCAAATTATGCATATATTAAAGCTTTTTTATCTGCTGAATTCCTAGTAAAAGCCTTACATACTCTCGATGGCAGAAAACCTGCCTCTGCAGATAAACACTCACAGGCCTTGCTAGAGCTTATGCGTCAAGCTCGATCACTACCTACATCAGCATGTGTGTATTAAGACACAGCCTTTGTACACGGATCATGTTGTCAAAAGAGCTGACAACGACTGCATTTCAACTGTGAAACTCCATACAGTAGGTACTTCCGGAAATGACTGAAGCATCTTTATAGCTCGCTGCTGAAACTCACCACCATCTCCTTGCTACAGTACACGAACTTTATACTTTCAAACTTAATCGTTTATTTTCAAAGACTACATGTTATATATGCACACAGAAACACACACTGTTATGCGTAAAACTTCAATTAAGAGCAAAAGTTTAATTACTAGACAATGCTGACTGCTAGGAATGGTGCTAAATAATGCTAAAGGGAGGCTATTTTTATTCAAACATGTCGCAGTTAGTTATTAGAAATCAAAGTTTCTAGTTATTAATTCGTTTACTTATATCGACTAATGTGCTCAATTATCACTCTAAATCATTCCTAAATTCGTAACGATTTTTGCAGTTTGTGTGACTAAAAATAGGTTTGATTCACTGACAAATTTGAGTACGCAGAAGCTAACAGAAGTGTATTTTTTTTATATCGTTAATCAGAAGTGCAACTTGACTCGAGCTAACCTGGCTAATGCCTTTAACATTTAGCTGGTAAACAACTTGGTGTTTGGGATCATCTGCTGCTGTTAGCCTTGGTTACCTTTATAATGCACCCGGAGGTTGTTTTGAGACAGGCCGATGTAGCTGAATTTGTCTTTGGGGCTCCAGGATCTGGGCAGTGGGGTCTCCTGCTCGTTGACGGCCGGGTAAAGGCTTCTAAGCCGCTGGTTGAGCTCTTTTTCCTGCTCGCTGAGAGCCAAGTCTCCGTGAACGACAACCGACATCAGAAACCCACAGCCCGATGACGGTCCTGACATCGCGATCCGATTCCTGCCGTCGATACCAACAGCTTGCCAGCTATCTTTAGCTGGACAGCTTTCTAACAGTGTCCAGTGGCTAAAGAGACCACTGTCAGACACCACAGGAGAAGAGCCGTTGAGATTTCGGGGTTGTTTTATTCGGATCGGACGGCTAGCCAGCCAGCTAACTGCGATTAGCCCGCAAACAGCCTCTCTGATAGAGTTAGCAAGACGCTACAGAATTAATCACGCCAATACAGCGAAACGGCAGCTTATAACAGACATCCAGAAAGTTGATCCTTGTTATTTAAGACGACATCCAGCCGATCGGACAGACTAAATAGGGTAAAAGGGACAGAAAGACAGCAGCAGAGGGAACCCCGATCTTTTGTTTGTTGTTAGTGTGAAATCCAGCGATCTGATTGGCGCTCTCCAGGTCCAGTCATACTTCCTCGGGCACTTGGTACATGACTAGACACAAGCTACCAATAACATGTCCTCCTTCTCGCTTGGGTTGTTATCCATAGTTCAGATGGCTGTGACAGTGAGAAAATGCATGCACACTTACATATTACAATGTTTCGTTTATTTATTTAATCATTTTCATATATCGTGGGGCAATACAGTTATGGTGCAGATTAAGGTCTCCTTATAGGCACTGTTTTGTGGTAGGAACTTTTCAATGACCTCCATTGAGGAAAAATTCTATTACCTACCCCTAAAACTTTTTTTAATTCGTTACGGAATGTATATTTATATATATTTATTTATGTGTCCCAACACACACAGAAACTCACACCCTTATGAACAACTATTGAATCATCAGTTTTTCTTTATTTTACATAAAGTGCTTAATTGTCCATGCAACATAAACTATGAATTAAGTAAGGAATAATTGACGACGGGCCGTTTAATTATTAGAAAAATATTTTTAAGGCAGCACTCGAGGACCTTGGGCCGTTGACTTGACAGGCTGTAAGCACAGTAGCAGATCTTGCATTCCAGATCCTCTGTGGTGGAGCCACCCACCACATCCTCTGGGAACTGTCCCATCATGTCTCCTTCTTCTCAACGATTTCTCATCGGCTGGTTGTAGTCAAAGCTGTGTGGGAACATGGTTGCGAGGCAGCTGTTGGGCCACTCCTGGTGTCTGGATGGTGTCCTGTGCAGAACGAAGCATTGCCTGTACTGTGCCACGATGGCTCTGGATGGGTTTGTGCTGAGGAACATTTCATGCACTGTGTGGAAGGGTGGGGAGAGGCCACCACCGAAAATATAACTGTTAACACAGCAGTAGAGAACAAACACTGCAGCAACAAAGCAGACCCTGTAAAACCAGGGCTGGAATTTTCTAGCCAGGGCTTTTGTTGCCACTGAAATTCAGTCCAATTAGTGGCTCCACACTTCTTTCTGGTGCACAGCGCTGTTTTTGCTCACTTGTTACAAGATGATTTTAAACAAAAAGAGATGATATTTGTCTGAAATCATGTTAAGTTCAGAATATACAATAATATCAAATATTTTAAATGTATTTAATATATATTATATAATATATAATTTTGAATACAAGCCAGTTCAGAAGTACACAGTTCACTGTGTAACATCAAAAATTAGGTCATAGCTGTTCACTGAGCCTGTCTCTCAAAGGCAGGTATTACTGAGATTTTACCATGTAAAATGAGAATTTACTTACATCTGATTGGCATTTATTTCCAAATATAATGCATTTTATATATCATGCTCAAATAATTTTAGGGCAAGACATGCATCGATTGATTATGATTTTGGTCTATTTGGCTTTTCATAATGTGATGTTTCAGAGCAGAGGGAAAGAAACAGTCAAAATACATTTTAATTTTAAATTTTTTACATTTATTTTTTGCACTTTACCTGTTTGCATCTGTAGATTTCAGTTGATATATTTAAAGGTTGTTTTCTCAAAAAAAAAAAAAAAATCTCTTGCACTGAGCCAGAAATCTCCACTTCATTTGCACTTACATACACCAGACTTTACAACTGTATTTCAATCTATATTCTAAAGGTTTTTACAGTGGGATTTGTTCATATATTATCTGACTTTCTACAAAATGTTATTCCTAAAAGCATGGTGAAAATGTTTTTCTGGCTGTTAAGAGTGATAAAAAGAGATCCAGAATCCCCTCTGTAAAAACTTTTGACTGCAATATGTCAGCAAAATTAAACAAAAATTTTGAACCTGACTTTATCCAATATTCAGGTTTCTGTTCTGGATATTTATGCAGACTACTGCATATTTAATTAGACAATGTCTAATTTGCATAAACATAAGCATAGCAAAATGTGTTCAGTTCTTTATGTAATCAATCAACTGGGAAAATATAATAAAATATAAGACTTGGTCTAAGTTTGTATATCTCAGCAAGCTATTTTTTCCGTTTTCAAATGGAAACAAGTATTGCTTTGGAGTTTCACAACACTGGCATTTATTTGAGGGCAATTGTAATCTTCCTTCATATCTCACAGATCGTAAATGTGGTTAGGGGGAATTGTAACACTTGATATCGTAATGATATTAACTTACTGATAAAACAATATACAGTATAATTGCTTTAATACTTATTAATGCAATTTGCCTTAATATGGAAGTATTTCTTTAAGGCTGTCAGAAATTATATGTGTTAAAACAAAAATCCTTTTTACTAAGATATACTGATCAGCTGACAGCTGCTTAGGTTCTGTGTACAGTAATAATGTTCATAACATTTTCATAACAAGACCCTTCAATCAAACATTGATATAATTAGTGTTACTATTGGCTCTGACCTTACAGCCAGGATAAAGTCTTATATGATATCCACCAGTGTCAGCAGCTGTCAATCATGTTTTAATTTGAACGAATGACATAGGGATTGATTACTTATTGGCTATATACAACAACAGAACTTTAAACAGCAGAAAAACGTTCGAGATGTTAAAAATAATCATGCCTGAATAACATTTTTAATTTTATACTTTTATGTTATTTTATTTATTTCTTTATTTCCACTGCAATTCTACCAATAACGTCCACTGCGCCCTAGTGGATAAAAAGCGTATTGAGCTTATTCATATTTTGTCTTCAAAAGAAATGAAATATCAGATTATCTGCATATGACTCTGGAAAAGAAGCATATAGGCTAAAGAAGAACTATTTTTCAAAACTTGAGAGTGAAGATGATGAACTATAGAAGAAAAAGATGACTAGAAGACATCTATGCATTATTTCCTTGTGATATGAATTAAAATCAAACGTAGATGTGGCTGTAATTGCGAGCAATGAGCTGCATGCACCGGTAACCCAGAGCAGGTGGAGGTCGCACAGCTGACTGAACGATGACGTCAGTGTTCCCAACAGCAACCCGGGGCTGCCTCTGAGTGACGTCAGCGACTAAACAACAGCAGCTGAGTGGCAGTGCGCGTGAGGAGCGGGGAGCGGGCTCGCGGTCGTTTGCTATGGCTAATCAGGGTGGATGCGACAGCCTGGATGCTTCAGAGGTGGAGCCGGTGGGAAAGAGCGCCGGCGAGACTTCCTCCCAGTCATTCAACTCAGGTGGAAGAGAGATGGCAGAGAAAGAGGAAGAGCAACCTTCGGGAGCCCGACACCCTGCAGACACTAAGAGCTTTCTGTTGTGCCCTACTTTTTGTATTAGTGTATTTTATAGACATTACATTAAATTTAAAGTGTGATGATTTCACATTAAAAGACCTTTGAGAAAAATCTGCTATTTTTTTGTCTTTTTATAAAACTTCCAAGTTACAGAAGTTATATGGTAATACAAATTCAGTTACTATTTCTTTGCTACAAATGTTTGCACAGTATAATTGCAATAATTTGTACTAATAAGTTCCATCTGTAATGATAAAATGCTTTGTTTATCTGTACATTGTGACGTATGCAGTAGAGTTTGTTTTGTCCTGTGGAAGCATGTCATATTGTGAAACTTGAGTTTATGTTTCAGACTGTTGCATGTCTGTGGGTGGCATGGTGATTAGAATGACACAGCCAGTTGTGCGCTCAGGAGTCATGGTAATCCTTTCTTGTGTTTCCTTGCCATTTTTAATTGGGAGGATTTTGGAGTGTCCCAACTGAGAAGCCAATCACATCATAGGATACTAACAGACAAAGGGTGTGTCTGGACACTCAGTGGCCCATTGGAGGAAGGCTGAGTGAGGATTAGATGACTGGTATTAGTTGTTTGCTGACCAACTGACCAGTCATGGTAATTTCATCACAGTCAAATGTCCAAATAATAATAATAGATAGAGTGAAATAAATAAAGAGGTGATATCAATAAAAAAGACGACTTGTTACTGTCTGATATACTGGGGAGACTAGGCAAGTGTTTATACTTTTTACTCCAAAATGTAAAATGTACAAAAATAGCAAACCATTGTTTTGGCCAACGAATATTAGTAATAATTTATTATTAATAAATTAGACCATTTAAAACATGTAAATATTGATTTAAAAAAAAAAAAAACAGTAAAAATGTTATAACCTGTCCCAAAAGGACATTTGTGAAAAATATATATTTGATTAATAACTTGTATAATTTTCTACAATATAAAATAAAAGTGTGAAAGCCTGCATCAAATTGACAATCCTGAAATATAAATATATATATTTTAAAACATAAAAAAATGACAACCTGCTCCAAATGGACATTTATAAAAATGCCCTTGTCCTGAGAACATTGTTAAATTCTACTTGCATAGCTGACTCTTGTCTGAATGTTTGCTAGTGGCGTTTTATTGTTCATGTGATTGAATGTATCATTTATCATTTCTTTCAGTATAATATAAAAATGCCCTTGTCCTGAGAACATTGTTAAATTCTACTTGCATAGCTGACTCTTGTCTGAATGTTTGCTAGCGTAGTTTTATTGATCATTTGTTTGCGTTTTATTGTTCATGTGATTGAATGTATCATTTATCATTTCTTTCAGTATAATGAGATTTTAAAACATTCACAACAAAACATCAATTTATCATAAATCAGTGAGATTAACAGAGAGAGAAAAGGGTAGACATTTTTTGTGATGTCAGTGAGTTTCTTTATGATGCACATGTACCTGTATGGAGATCATTTTTCATTGAGAAAAAATTCAAAATACTCTTCTGAGAGGGTCTCATTCTGTGAAGAGGGGGTATTATGTGGAGTGTTTGTACGTGTGTGTGTTCATGCCCCAGCACTGTCTGTCTGATGCCTGCTTGTGGAATGCTATGTGACTGGTATTTTTAGACCTGACCGGTTGAAATAGTGAAGCTCAGGCCTTGGTCAACATAAACACTAGCTTGTGTGGCTTCATGCAACACTTTATTTGAACTCTGGAACATATCACTGACTCACTCACCTTCACACTCACCTGAACGCTTTTCATGTTGAAACCTAGAGATTTTGAGATGACTGCTGAAGACCATGGATCAGCACTGAGGTAAAAAAAAATTTATTGAATAAATTGGTATTGTAAAGAGTGGTTGTTAACTTAGAATACTAAGAATCAGTGTTATGTGATTTATACCTCCAAGAGGCTAATTTTGGATATCTTGGATGACTTGCATATTTATTTTGTGACTTTTTTTTTTTATCAAGTGATATTTGTCTTTCAAAAATTGTGCTTTAAGCTTACTTACATCGCAGTTAGATGTTTCAGATATGAGCTTGTTCCAAATTATTACAAATGTCAGTTATCATGCATCAGATGCATCTGGGGCCGTGTGGTCTCCATGGTGACCCTTGTTTTGGAACATTGGGAAGTTCACGTCAATTGTCACAAAGACTTTATAGGTATTGATACGTGCATGTACACGACACAGCCATGGAACCTGTCGGTCATGTGGAATGAGGTGTATGTGGACAGACCCACAGATAAGCTAAAAACATGGTTAAAGTACTGCAATTGGCAATGCCAAGGGTCTTTTAACACTTTTACAAATTAAGAGACTATTGATTTTCAGTGGCATTCCTCAGCTGTTTGTTTTGGGCTATTTTGTCACTGGGTCTGTTTGAGTGTCAGACAAGTAGCTTTCTTTATTGTTTCAGCAATTAGCATGGGAGTCAGCTAGTCTAGCGGATTGATTTTCAGAATCCAGAGTCACCTGTTGTTGGCATTTACAGAGACATAGGCTTTTCTACACATCTTCTTTGGTTTTAAAAGATTTAGGACTTTCTTGAGGCAGCAAACTTTATTAGGTTTTCACATGATATTAAGTAACATTTACCAGAGGCAAACATGCCATGCGGTATGATTTCAAATAGTGTTAGCTATCAAACACCACATGGTGCCAGTCAACAAGCAGATTCCCCAAAAGATCTCATCTGATGAAATCTCTTAACGCTTGTGAGCATTACACCTCATTGATCTCCAGTCGTCAGCTCTGGTCTGGGTTGGGCAAGCCTGAGCTCACTTTCTCTGGCACTTTCGCTTGTATCTGCCACATGGTCGATGGTGAAATGCTAATGTGAGCTGCGTTGCCTCATAGTCACATGCCCCCCATGCGCTCTGTTTAATAGGAAACCTCCGGTGGGGAAACATGTCTCTGTAATGGTGGAGGTGACTGGTTTATGACCTTTCAGAGGAAATGCAGCTTGAGCTGATCTGTAGAAGAGTTCCTAATTGCATGGCTTATGTGTAGCATGTTTTTGCTTTAGTTTGGGGTCGATCTGTTTATTTGATGGACATTGTGTTTTGAAAAGTTTTCGACATATAGGTGGCATTGCTTGGTTTGTTTTGGAGATGGGAAATGTAGGGCGACAGCTGTGAGGGGATAGGAGTAGGGGCGCATAACAACAGATAAAGGGCATTAACAAGCCGCCTGTTAATAGATGCTTATCTTGTGCCCAGAAATGACAGCCCCACAACATTACTGCTCTAGAGGAGATCTGGATGGAGGAATGGGCCAAAATACCAGCAACCGTGTGTGAAAACCTTGTGAAGACTTACAGAAAACGTTTGACCTCTGTCATTGCCACCAAAGGGTATATAACAAAGTATTGAGATGAAATTTTGTTATTGACCAAATACTTATTTTCCACCATAATTTGCAAATAAATTCTTTAAAAATCCTACAATGTGATTTTCTGGATTTTTTTTCTCATTTTGTCTCTCATAGTTGAGGTATACCTATGATGAAAATTACAGGCCTCTCTCATCTTTTTAAGTGGGAGAACTTGCACAACTGGTGGCTGACTAAATACTTTTTTTCCCCACTGTATATATATATATTTTTAAAACAAGAATTTGAATAACAATAATGAATTCTGAATATCAGTCTTGGGTGAACCTTCAAATAAGTGAAGCCAAGTTTTCCAATGTGCAGAAATTCCCTCATTTCTAAATCAGGCATTCTCAGGTCGCCTCTGTTTCGGTTATCTCATGAACCCATTGTAGATATTATAAGAATCCTCTTGTACATTTCTGCAGTCATCACTCAGTCTGTGAACTATTTTACACATGTAGTGTGTGCTCTGATAGTGCTAGAATCTGCCTTCAAAGGTATACACACTGTATAGCTATAATGTTATAGACACATTAGGAATGTTTGTGTCATATCACAGTTCCAGAGGTTGAGAACAGGCCACTACAAATATGTTTATATCAGCATATGTGTTCAACAGATATGCAGTGATAATTAAAGAAGTGTACATTATTTAAATGAATGAACTAATTAATAAGTGCTTTTTCAAAAACGGTCGATCTTTACTTCTGGTTTAACATTAATGATAATTTATTTCATTGGTCTTTTAATTGTAGCTGGGAGGTCATTGATTCTGTCCAGGAGGGCAGGTCTGGATCAGGATCTCCATTCACAGACTTCTGGTCGAGCCTCAAGCTCTTCATTGAGGAGACTTCCTCTTTTAAGCAACAGAATCCAGGCAAGGTATGGACGGATTTAGTTGGTGCGTAATGTAACCTTTTTTTTTTTACATTAAATTCTAGATTTTAGTCTAGATTTAGTAGTTTAAAATTTGTATGAATTTATAAAGGGAAACGTATATATTGGGTATCATGTCTCCATTTCTTCTACTTTTTTCACAATTATTTTTAACCACAATCTTGCCTCTCTAGTTCATTTTTCATGGCCTGACAGTGGACTTAATATTAATTTATAAGATCACTGAGATGTGTGTGTGTATATATATATATATTTAGTATTGTTAATACATTTTTCAATGTAAAATGATTCAATGTAGTCTCATAATGTGCTCATAAAAGCTGCATGTATAATAATTATAAAAGAATTAGCAAAATTATATTTAAAATAGATTTAGATTATTTAGTATAGCATGTCATATAGCAGGTTATTAACTTTCCAGAAGTATTTTATGTCAGCTATCCTTTTGCTGTGAACTGAGACATTTTAGATTTGTGTCTCATTGCAGTTCTGTCTGCTGGTGTGCAGTATGTGTTCTTTTTTGGCAATACTTGGACGTTACATTCCAGGGGTTGTTATTTCATACATCTTAGGTAAGTGCCAAATTAAGATACACAAAAAAGATGGTGATTTAATAGTTTTAGCCCTATCTTTTCATTTTAGCTTTTGTACAACTGATTGCAACCATGCTACTATTGGCTAAGGCTGTGCATAGCCTTTCCTGTATTTACCTCCAGCACACTCCAGAACATCCAACAGTCCGTTTGTCATGTGATAGTGGATTCCTAGTAATGTAACCATGACGATATTCTCACTCAGTCTCTGGTTTCTCTTTCTTCCTAGCAGTCAGCAGGTTCATAAACACACTGGTAAGTGTGACACGTACATTAATCGTTTCTACATCTGTTTACTGCAGTGCTGGGCATTTTTCTCTGGCCTTTGGTGTCGTCACATGAGTTCGGGATGTGGCTGGAACCAGTTCTGCAGAAACTGGACTTTGGAGTGGGCGAGTTTCTTCAGAAAATTAAAGAGAATCATGGTACATGTATCTCAAATACACACAGGAAATGACTCAATTTTACATTATTTCCAGTATAGCTTGTAATCAGGAAATGGATTTTTGAATGTTGACCCCCCAAATTATTTTTATTAAAAATAAACATAAATATTAGTTGAAAAACTTTGTTGAAGAGAAAATTAACAATGTTGCCTTGGCAATTAACTGAAATAAAAAAAAGTTACAATTGAAGTACTAAAATTACTAAACCTAAAGCAAAAAGGCAAAAATAATACTAAAGCTAAATGTAAATGTTTAACCTCAATTTTCAAACTAGGAATAAATACTATGAAAGTATATAAATAATACAAAAATAACGCTGTATGGATGCTGTCTGCACACCTCTGCATCTCTGCGCACTACACATATAGCTAGAGGCGGACTTAACCATTAGGCAAAGGTAGGCGACCGCCTTGGGCCCCAAAAAGCCAAGGGCCCCTTAAAAATGCTTTTTATATGCGAGATGCGCGTTCAGTGCGGACGCACAAGTGGTTGCTGTGGTGTTCATTACCACGACAACCGTCTGTGCGTCCGCGTTGAACGTGCTTCTTAGCAAAAGTAGGGCGATGTAGAAAATGGGAACGGAATCCCGGAATCTATTCATAAAAACGGAATTTACTGTGGAACGCGGAATGTGACGGAATGAACGGCGCAGACGCGTGTTTCGTTTGCTAGTTTGCTATTTAAGCACCTGCAACGCTCGCGGTTGTCGTCTGTAGTAGCTAAATAGTATTTTTGCCATTTAATATTCACATACACTAGTCCATATCGCGGTTAGATTGAAGTGTACTGAATTGCATTTCATTTTATTCATTCAATATTTGACGAATTCTGTGACATTGCTCGTTACACAGTAAACTTCTGTTGTGTAGCATTTTGAATGTACAAAAATTAAAGGGTTTGTTTAATTTTCATTGGAATGAAAGATAGATTCATGTTTTCGCCTTCATTTGATTACCAGAAAAATGAAAATACACAACACAGAATTTCTATAAAATAAGTAAATAAAATTAACTTTTCATAGGGCTCTATTATTGCATACAAATTAATAAATTAGGTTGTTTTTATTAATTCAATTAGATATGTTTTTGATTAAACCATTAAAATGTGACACAACTATGGGACACGGTCGTGCAGCAGCGAGCAACAGTGAAAGGAACCTCAAGGTTGTAAATGTGTGAAATTGTATAGGGCCTCATTCCTGTATTTTGCCTGGGGCCCCCAAGTCACTAAATCCGCCCCTGCATATAGCACTCTTAAAGGGTGACTCAACTTATTGAGTTCAATGGAGTTTGACATTAGCATGTTGCTAAGCTAACAAAGCAATACTCTAATAAGCATATAAATCATTTTCCGTTTTTTTTACATTTACATCATACATTCATATTTTTTTTTACATTATTTTCGATTACACTGAAGTATTTTTATTGATTCTGTTCAGTTTTGAATGAAATATTTAATTTAAAGTCATGGCTGACTTGCATTCCTCATATTCCTTCCCTGCTCCAGAGAAAAGGATACTCCAGTCTCAAGCCAAGACAGAGAGCATTGAAGCAGATCTGTCTGCACTTTTCCCCAAGGTCAGTGCGCTGCCACACAGCTCGCCAGATACTGGTATCATGTGCCACTAAAGACTGTGAGGGCTTCATGATATGACAATAATATAATATACATAATATGTCCATTTCCTGTCTGTGTGTGAACTGATATTGAGCATCTATTACAGATGGACTCCACCATGTGCAAAGAGCTGTCTATATCAGACACAGAGGTCTCTGAAATAACATGGACAGACAATGGTACCTTTAACCTTTCAGAGGGACACACACCTCAGACAGAAAACTCTGAAGGTAAGCTCTCTTACCTTTTCCAGAAATATATAGATATAATGTATGTGTAGTATGTGGGGGATTTGCCAGGTCTAAATATAAAAAATGATACAGGTAGACCGTATGTAGCAAAGTCAAAATAAAATTGCATTTTAAAATACAAAATGTTATTCAAAATGTTATTCAAATGTTATTGTAATTTAAAATTGTAATAATATTTCACAATATTACTGTTTTTACTGTATTTAAATTTTTTTTACTGTATCATTAAAAAAAATCATACTGGTCCCATACTTTTGAAGAGTGGTATTTACTGTATACTATATGTTAGTATATTATAAATAAATAAATATTAGTATACTGGAATCAGTTAGCCATCAGCATGTTGTGATTATAAAAAAGGAGTTTTAAGAAATGAATGAATGTCAGGCTTCTATATTGGAAAGCCATTCTTTATGTATTATAGCTGTTCTTTGTGTATTAAAACATCACAATGAAAGTATGTATGTCTGTAATGTCTTAAACATTAAAAACTTAAAGGGGTCATATGATGCGATTTCAAGTTTTCCTTTCTCTTTGGAGTGTTACAAGCTGATTGTGCATAGATAAGATCCCTGAAGTTGCAAAGACTAAAGTCTCAAAACCAAAGAGATATTCTTTATCAAAGTTAAGACTCTGCCACGCCCCCCTAAAACGGCTCGTTCTAACACGCCCCCACATATCTACATCACTATGTGGAAATATTAGCATAATGCCGCCCAAATGTGCACGCAAAGAAAGAAGGCGTGGTTTCAGTAACCGCAGTTAGTGTTGAAGCAGCATGTCAGGGAGACGCTGTGTGTTTCTAGGCGAAAGCAAAAGCACTTTATTTGGCCTTCCGAAAGTAGATGCATTTAGGAATCTTTAAGATGACTTACAACAGAACAGCAATGCATTTTATGGACGACCGTTTCATGAACCTAGGAGAGGAGGTAATTCTGACTTTGCTACGAAAATCTGGCTCTTCTGAATCATCTACTGTTTTGTTATTAGCTTAAGTGTTAGAGAGAGAGAGAGAGAGAGAGAGGCAGGGTCACAGTGGAGTCAGCTGTCTTAACCGTGGCTTGTGTACTGCAAACACATACCAGCTTCATCACTGTGTCTGTCACGCGACTCTGTTCCCCTTTCGGGCTCTGTCTTTACATTTATTTTGAAAGATGAAGCTCGCGATTATGGTAAGGGGCATTACATTTCCGACGAGTGCTTGCGGTGTTCGACCAATCACAATGCACTGGGTCAGCTGGCCAATCAGAGCAGACTGCGCTTGTCGGAAGGAGGGACTTTGTAGAAAACTAAGCGTTTGACAGAGGCGGGGCATAGAGGACCTACAATAATGTACAGTATTTGAAAAATAATGTGTTTTTTGAACATTAAAGCATGTCAACATATTTTGTTACACCAAATACACAAAATAATGATCTTTAAAAAAGCATCATATGACCCCTTTAAAATATAGCTTTGAGGCATTAAATAATAGATATTAGACCAAATCGTGCTCCAGTTGAATGTGTATATCTCAATTCCAGCAGTATTTTTTAAAAATGTTTTCTGTATTATTTATTTTATATATTTGACACAGACTCAGACCGGCGAAGTGATGAGGAGGTCTTCACAGGTGGACTACCGGAGTTTCCCTCCTTGGACAATGGCTTGGGGACAAATGGAGATGACGATGAAGACCTGAGCATTGGTATGCCCACCCCACCAGCCCATCCCAGCAGGGTTGGGTCCACACAGTCAGACGAGGACCCAGCTGCCCAGGCTCTGGAGGTTGTGCAGAGGCTGGCTGGAGACGTAATCACGGCAGCAGTAACCGCGGCCATGCAGGAACGCCTGGAGTCAGTGGTAGCGCCGATGCTGGTCCAGGCCCTGGCCGAGGAATCGGACAGCGAGGCAGAGGACTTTGAGTTGTTGGACCAGTCAGAGCTGGAACAGCTGGAAGGCGAGTTGGGGCTGGACCGGGCGAGCCGTGCAGAAACGTCTAAACCTAGCAAACCTTCTTCAGGCTTTCTGTCCAAACTACTGGGGCACCACTGATTTTATTCAGAGGGGTTCCGCTTCCCTCTGTGATGGGATGTGGGTGGGAGCATAAATGTCGGGTTTACAGGGAAAGGTCCAGAGTAATGAAGATATTCCATTGTTTTACTTTGCTGGTGTGATTCAGTTATATTCAGTTGCTATTAAAACGGTCATCTGTGGAAGGAGGCTATTTGTGTATTTCATGGGGAAGGTGATAGTGGCTGGTTTTGGCGTAGCTCCATCTCAGTGGGTCATCGGAGGAAATTTTTTCACAATGTTTCCTGTCAACCTCCAACCCGCCAATGACCAGAGGGTTATGGACCAGAGTATTGTCATGAGTTTAGATGTTAAAGGGCTGGTAGATGCAGAATACTCCATATTTTGCTGCCAAATATTTCTTCTCTTTTCAACTTCGCTTAATTACTTCTAAAAACAAAAAAGCTTCATGGCCAAAGAGTAAGGGCCTCCCACTAACTGACAATCAGGATAGCACTTATAAGCAAACAGAAACACCTTATTTTGTTTTCTAATTTTGTTTTATTTTTCACGAAGGATTTTTGAAAAGCCAGTGGTCTTAGTGTAATCCAGGGCTGTCCAAACTCGGTCCTGGAGGGCCGGTGTCCTGCAGAGTTTAGCTCCAACTCTAATTAAACACACCTGAACCAGCTAATCAAGTTCTTACTAGGCATAGAAACTTCCAGTCAGGTGTGTTGAGGCAAGCTGGAGCTAAACTCTGCAGGACACCGGCCCTCCAGGACCGAATTTGGACAGCCCTGGTGTAATCCTTTGCATGGATAGCTGTTTTACAGTTTTCAGTTTTCACCTTTTAGAGTGAACCAACCTGGCACTAGAGCACATAGGCACCAAAGTTGAACAGAGTTTGATTTATATTTACATGAATATTCATCAAACAGTTCTTAAAGTGATGGTTCACCCAAAAATGTGAGTAAGTGTTTAATGTTGTTTTAGACTATTGACTTTATTTCACACAATATTATCTTTTGTGTTCCACAGAAGAAAGAAATACAGGTTTGGAAAGACATGAGATTCAGTAAATAATCATTTTTGGTTGAATTCTTTCTATTTAATGTACACAAAGAACCTTAAGATTTATTTTCAGGCAAAAGTAACATGTAGAATGTATTTAAAGGGTTAGTTCACCCAAAAAGTAAAATTCTGTCATTAATTACTCACCCTCGTGTTGTTCCAAACCCGTAAGACCTTCGTTCATTTTTGGACCACAATTTAAGATATTTTTGATGAAATCTGAGGGCTCTCTGACCCTCCCATAGACAGCAAGGTAACTACCACGTGTGGCGGCGCTGACCCTGATCCGGCATAATACCGTCATCAGGCCGGATCTGGGTCAGCGCCGGCGCCGCCACACGCTCGCGTCATGATACTGTCGTGAACGACAAGTGATGCAGTAGAGACGAAAATGTGGAATAAAGTCGTTATTTTTGTTTTCTTTGTGCAAAAATTTATTTTCGTAGCTTTGTAACTTTACAGTTGATCCACTGATGTCACACGGACTACTTTGTGGATCATCTTGGTACTTTTCTGGACCTTGAATGTGGTAGTTACCTTGCTGTCTATGGGAGGGTCAGAGAGCCCTCAGATTTAATCAAAAATATCTTAAATTGTGTTCCGAAGATGAACGAAGGTCTTACGGATTTGGAACAACACGAGGGTGAGTAATTAATGACAGAATTTTCATTTTTGGGTGAACTAACCCTTTAACCCCCAAGAACAATGTAGAGAAAAGACAATTGTACTTTTAGTCAGTCTTATCAATCAAAATGTCTCTTTGGGGATCATTATCAGCTTTCTGTGCGAAAGATAGTAGACTTTTAACCAATTGACCCATTATTCATAATTGCCTTTTCATCAATGTAAGTACAGAGGCACATATAGCCACGACTGTTTCTGTTCACAGTGTGGTGCTTGGTGTGTATCTAAATTTAGTGTTTCTAACAAACTACTGATGTATTATACATTTTGTTTTAATGTATTAAATGCTTTCTATAGCACAGTGGCCGAATAGGAATTTCTGCCCGTCACTATAATGACTGCTATCCAAAAATTTGGATAGATTTTATCACTTTTTTAAAAATGTATTATTTATTCCTATATATCTCTCCTATTAGATTGCTGACACACACATATGACTGCCTTATATGCTTGTGCAAGTTTGTCTGTCAGAGCGGAAGAAAATGAGCAAAATATAGGTGTATATAAACAATCTCCAGAATGTAATTAAAACCGTATGATTCAAAATTGTGGTTTTTGTTATTATTCTGAATGAGGTTTTGCAATGGAAAATATTTTAATTGACTTTGAAACAATTCTTAACAGGGTCAGAACATATACAGTGCGGTTAAAATTTGAATCGGCAACTTTTTTTCTTAATTTAAACGTGGAAATGAATAATGTTTTATTTTGAAAGACCGATTAATTCATTATAATTGTACATAAATTATAGTAAAGTAAATAGTTATTCTAATAAACATTAAGAAATTAAGGACTATTTGAATTGTTTTTATATTGTAATGCTAATAATATATTTTGGAAAGGAAACTAATAATATTAATTAAATTGTATTGCTAATTGTCACCAAATGCATGATTAAACCGATAATAAATGTCTTCACTATAATTAGATCCAGGTACTGGTTAGATATGAGCTATTTTCACTGTTTGTAGGTTTACCAGGTAAAGAGGAGGAACGCTTCTCCTCATAAATCTGACACTTTTAAACAGCACCCGGTGATTTACTCATAGTCCACCTGTAAAGCACACCATCCATACATCACCTAAACTTTTCCTCAAGTCAACAGAACAAAGTATGATTTATGCTCACCACTATGCAGGATTTATCCAATGCAAATGAGTTAAACCCATCAGAGATTAATTAAAGTGCTTCATTTTGAACTATTCAAATCGATTTAAATTGTGGTTTAAATGTATTTCAATGTGAAATAAATTATCTACATACCATGCAGCTTTTTTTAATGGAGAGATGTTTATAATTACATGCTTAAAGCAGATAAAAAGAACAAAACCAATATTTTGAGTAAATATCTGGTCATGATTTGAAAAAAGGTACAGTTTTTGACTGGATGCAACGTGAGTGACTATAGGATATAGCTAAACATACTAAAACAATTAAAAAGAAACTGTTCCATAATTCTGCATCTGGTGGTCCTTAAAAGTTTCAGGCCCAGCAGGAGATGTTTTTACCACCACAGAATTTCTTTATGAAGTGAGTGGCGTAATGTGGTGTGATTTGTGTCTTAGGGCCAAAATAAAAATCAAACAAGCCACAAAGAATTTGCACAGATTTGCCACACATATTCATTTGATCTGAATGAGAAAGAGAAAAATTAAAATAGATTGCTTGCACAGTAACACAGTCCTATTGTATTACTTTGCTTATCACAATATAGATAAATGCAGATAACACATAAGAAAAAGTTTCATAAACATATTATTTGTATTCATTTATCTTAATGTTATTTTTAGTCACACATTGAAATGTATAAAATTATACATGACAGATTCTGTTACTTGTCCTTTCAGGCATGTAAATTACACGGTGTCATACACATCATTTCTGTTTACTTGGCTTTTTTTCTTACATGAAAACAAGCCTGAATTCTTTCCAGAAAAACCTTTAGTTTTCCATAAAATGCGGTTGTTTACAAATCGTGTTGCTGATTTGGGAAAAGCATGGCAGAAATATAAAAGACAACATCTCATGCATCTCATTCAGAGTAACCAGAGATGTAGTTCATCACATTGACTATAGACAGTTTGACAACCAGAAACTGTCAATTTGTTTTGAACAATAGCATTTTTTTTAGCATTTGAAAATTAGCTTGAAAAGAGTGTTTGTGATATGCTTTTAAGAAAAGCACCACTTGGTTTGATATTTTGATATTCACACATTTTTAGGTGTGTCTGAATACTTTTTCGGAGCCATTGTATGTGTAGAAGGAAAGGAAAGGTGTTCTGCCCTATTTTCAGGTGAGAAGACATGAAAGCCGGCTTGTTTCTAGTCTTGTAAATCTCTACAGAGACATACAGGTGAACTGTGAAAAAAAGAAATAAAAAAAGCAGAAGTTTTACCACCTTGACCTTCCAACCACACTCATCCTGTCACAAGTTAAAATCACTTATTTCACTAAAGTTTGTGAAATAGGGTAATTAGATATTTGTGGAAAGATAAGTAGACATTGGTAGATACTGTATATATTAATAAAAACATAGCTTCAGTGAAGGGCAAAGAGTTTTTTCTTCTTAGTGACTTTTAAAGTCTTCTCTGGCGCCAGGTGTTCCAAAATTCTGAGCGAACGTCACATTCTTCTACATGTGGTATGCTGAAATTATGAGGCCATATCGTATTTGTGTGCTCAGCTGCTTCCAGGTTGGATTGCAGGTTTATGTGCTATGTAAAACACCTGTTTGCAGCAAGCCTGAAGTTTAATTATACTGTATGTGTAACAGTGGACGTGCTGATCTGGCCGTCCCATCATCATGATGAATGGACCTTATAGACTCTATTAAACATTCAGTCACATACAGGACAGTATATGTTTAGCATATTTTAGTTGTAATTTCTAAATAAGGCTGCCACCGTATTCTGTAGCTTAGGCTACATATTTTTGCTGAATATAGTGGGAAGGAATCACCTGAAATGATATTTGACAGGCCATCATTCTGATCTATGATGTTCTTGTAATAAAAAGTAGTCACCTCGGATCATTAACCCAAACCTGATTTTTTTATAGCATCCTGTAACCCTCTGACCTTCAGTTACCATCAGTTTCTTATGACAGTGGCCAACACTTTCTGCTTTTCCTGTGGAATATTTAGTGAGTGTGAAGAAACTGCCAGATAACATCTTTAAAAAGCAAGCTGCTGACAGGAATCTGCTTGTTGGGGAGAGTTTTTTTTAACAGCTTGAGTCTGGTTTTTAATTAGCTCACATTACAGTTTTCACTTGTTCCAAACCTGCGTGAGTTTCTTTATTGTGTAGTTGACGGTAGCCATCGACTTCCATAGTATTTTTTTTTCCATACTATTGAAGTCAGTGGCTACCGTCAACTGATTGATTACCAACATTCCTTAAAATAACTTATTTTGTGCTCAACAGAAGAAAGAAACTCACACAGGGTTGGAAC